ATTCACGCACTAAAGTATTGGTACATTAAGATACACGCGCACCTAGATTCACGCACAAAAGTATAGGTACATTAAGATACACGCGCACCTAGATTTACGCACAAAAGTATAGGTACATTAAGATACACGCGCACCTAGGTAACGTACCTAGGTAGGTACGTTAAGGTATACATGCACCAGGGTGTAGACGCGCATAATTACACACACTTACGCGTAATGAATTCGCACCAAAGCACATACGTCCAAAATTAAACGCTCGTAAAGAATAAACGAATTCACCACACGACTTCAGACGTGACGTGTCCTCCCACTAATCCAAATCAGTCGTATAGGTTTTCATTCACACCAAAAAAAAAACCTCGTTAGTTGAAGTAGATTTTCTCAAACCCCATAATCGATTTAAATATCGAAGTCATTAGGGATGTTTTTCGCAGCCTACGCGTTGCCTATAACACCGCTTCAAACGTCACGTTCAAACGAAACCTAAGCTCACTATATTCATGTAACTAAAAAATAGCTTTACTCTTATCCACGAACAAACACATTGGGATCCTAAGAAGGAGATCAACTCGAACCCAGGGTTAATCTACCTCTGTGTACACAAAACCATTCATTTGTGTATCGTTACCAAGATTAGAAGGTGAGGTATTCCCTTAAGCCAAAAAAATAAATACTTAATCAGTTTAGTCTGGGACTTCAATAAATCAAGTTTATTTTATTCATCTCCTATTTTCGGTCAGTTACGTTTTGTTTGCTAGAAAAATGCATAATTAAGCAGCGCGGATGGTTCTCACTTCTGAACCAATTAAAACATTAACTCAACAATTTAACCGTCCAATCACAGCGCTTGAATTTGGAAGCCACTGACGTTTTTTTCATGTCTTTCTATACATTCACGTCTTTTCAAAAAACTAAGAGCAAAACTTTCGTTATACCGACAACACGTTTATTTTTTAGCAGTACTGAATTATCAAAACCCACATCTAATTGACGAAAAAACCTTCGTGTAATATCTCTCTCCCTCGGTAATTACTCAAATAAGCAATACAAAGACGCAATCACGATCTTAAAGAATTGTTCAAGCAAATAAAGCCGCTTTGAATAAAGTAATTTTCGTACATTAAAGCTTTAGTAGCAAAACGGAAGTCTTTTCCGCTACTAAAAAACTTCATACAATAGACATTAATGTATTGAAGACGTTTTTGATCGAATGTCAAACTCCAGATACTAATTTCTTTGAGTGTGACGGATATAGGAGACAATCGTCTGTGTTGTTAAGAAATAATTCCCATGTTTTGATGAAGGATTTCAATTAGGAGTTATCGATAATAAAGATATTAAAAGTTATAATCAGGAAGTATGAAATTCGTCTGATCAAGATTGATATATTTTTAAAAAATTCAGGGCCTCGGTTGGAGTAGGGGTTACTGTAAAATATAAGATAGAAGTTTTGATACGGTGCCAATATTAGTAAGAAGAAAACACAAATGAATGAATAAAAAACTTAAATGACGAACCTAATGAATGGATAAATAAATGAATGAATCATTTAAAAGATATAGGATATGTTATGTATAGATGTACAGATAAGTGAATGAAGAAATGAATGAGCGAGCAAGTGCATAGATAAGGGTGAAATGAATAGATGAATGGATTGGTGAGAGAATAGCAACATTTATAAAGGGATAAATTATGGATTAATGAATTAGCACGCAACCAATGAGATGCATAAATAAATAGAACGAACGAAAGAGAGGGAGGGAGGGAGGGAGGGACGGAGGGATGTATGGATGGATGGAGGGATGGATGGATGGATGGAGGGATAGATGGAGGGTTGGATGGAAGGAGGGAGGGAGGGAGGGAGGGAGGGATGGATGGCTCCCTGTGGTAGATGCTATATGTCATTAAAATCTTGGTTTCTGTGGTAACAACGGGGAAACTAGAACCGACGATCGTGTCTCATTTTCGTACCCAAGGTTCCATGGATTCGTTTGTCTGGAAACGAGGCTTGGTAAGACTGAAGGGGCATACAGCAGTAACTCATGTGTGCAAACCATCAAAGGTGCTCAAATCAGCTCGAATTGAATGCTTGACAATCTAGTTGTCATGACAAAATTATAGTGAGAAAGCGTAACGAAACCTTAGAATTGCGGGAGAGTTTTAGTTTGGAAGGAAAATTATTACGCAAACAACAGGATTCGAAATTCGAAAATTTTGCGCAACATGATAAACCTGATTTCAAAATATATCTTTTTTCGTTTCTCGCGTAATTCTTACGAAGCAATAAATGCATTGCATGAGGAAGACAAGAAGGCTAACTAATATTATTCTGAGTACTTTAATCTTCGAGGATTATAGTGCTTTAAGTCTTAATGATGTCTAGTTTGACATAAAAAAACGTGGCCCTTAGCTAATCTAAAAACCGGAGAGGATCACACATCTTCTCTAGTGGATAAAACGTAAACATTTTTATTTTTTATCAAATTTTGCTAATTTTTTCACTGATTTCCCAAGGATAGCCTTGAGCCGCGCACTTAAAAAACTCGTTTTCTAATATCATACTTAAAACTAAAGAAGCTCAACTCTTAAGCGGTACCATTATACCCTTCATCTTATTTTATTGATTAACTGGTTTTCCTGTAAGTTTCCTGTAAGTTTTAGGATAGAGGTTGCCCCAGGGTTTGATAAAGATTTTGAAGGTTTTGGTAAAGCATAACGCTTTTAATGTGTCGGAAAAAATTATCTCTATCGAGATTCAAGCATATAGTATCCCATATCCTGCATGTCAATCTCCTTCACAAACATCCGTAGGGAATTTGAATAAATTTTGAAATAGATCTCAGTGCACTTCAGTTTTCAAATGGACTCGATTCTTATTGACGTCATCGTATAAGACGTCGCCAAAACAAATTTGACCCCACATTGAAATGTTTTTGTATTTGGTCAATTGGTCTGGAAGGGGGTCTACAATGTTGAGTCTAGTATGATGAGTGGGATCCGTTGGAAAATTGCAGGTGGGCGGGCAAATGGCACCCTGTACCGCTAAAGCCTGGTTCTCGCTAGCAACGCAAGCACAAATACAAGCGCAAGCCAAAGCAAGAAAAACAAAAATCTTTTGTTCGCCCACGCTTAAGTTAGCGCTTGCGTCGCTTGTTTCCATAATGAGAATATGGAATTGCGTCTGCTTGGGACGGACCAGCATTACCCGAGCATTAATTTTGATTATCTGAATAGTTCATCCTTCTTTACTATAATAATGATAATGGTAATAATGATAACGATAATGATAATGATAATGATAATGATGATGATGATAATGATAATGATAACTTTATTAGTCAGGGTTCACACCTTACCATGACTAATAATTTTCAGGTGGCCCTCGGGATTATAAATGATTTCCATATTTACAATATAAAAAATGTTATAAAGATGTAAATATAAAAGGAGAAGGATAAAACTGGTTAAAAAAGAAACTATGCAAAAAGAAGATATGATTAAAAAAAAAACAGAAAAAAACGACAATCTAATATAATTATGTGACTTACAATACAATATGATTCTGTGATATAGGCAAAACTATTTGTCTAGAGAAAAAGGTAGCACTAGAAATTTGTCGTGCGCCTGTGTACCACTTCCCTTTGTCAGTTTATTTGTGACATGCATGTGTTTTGTGGTGAAGATGGTGGGATGATTAATTGATGTCAGAGCGATTCCCCTTCCCTCCCACGACAAATCCTGCTCACCRTAATTAATTCCCGGTCCCAAATTTATTTTCATGGCTGTGTTTTTTTCTTGCTCACCAGGTCATACCAGTTTTTACTCAAATGCGGTAATGGCCCAGTCCTCCTGCACAACACCAAGCAAGAAGCCGATGCTATGTCTTCAGAAGAGACTTCAGATATTCTAAAAGTCCTTGAAGATTACATCAAAAACAACAACAAGTTTGTCACGACGGAAGGATCCTGATTACGAGTGTCGACCTCAAATTCCCTAAATATTGTAAATACGATTATTTTAAACTCAGTCTAGTGATATCATTACGTCATCAATGACTTCACACAGACACTCGCGCGACCCTTGCCGTGATGTGGCTGACTAAACGCATCGGACAAGAAGACAAGATGCGATACTGTAGATCGATCCATATAATGAAAATGTTGTTTTTGTCAAGTTTTCAGTCCCCGTACAAATTCGTTTCAGCATTTGCGCAATCCATTTTCGGACGTACCTACCCGTGAAACCACGCCTTGATCTCGTCTGCGGTTCTCATTGATCCCCTGCAAAGTTCTAGATACGGGCTAGTGAACTAATGTACTGGTTCGTTGAAACATGACAAGCGGAAGTTTAGTACCTCCCCCGCTTCCTAGTAGCACTCTGTTCGCCTCGATATCCCTAGGTAGGCTGGGTCATGCAGGCCTAGCTTTGTCCTAAAAATCGTGGGGAGGAATTTTTAGGACTGACCCTAAGGACGCCTGCAAAGGGGGCTACGTCAGACCACTTCCAGCTGGATCCCGTGTGGTGGTCGGTATCCAGCAATGCTATATTGCCCCTAAATTAAGGCTGGTATTGAGAGTTATGAAATTCATTCAAGTAATCGATTACATGCAATACCTCTTGTGATTGGATGAACGCAAAATATAAGGAAGCCATTTGACTCTGCTTATTGATCGATATTAAATTATTATTATACCAATATGTTGATAATATATTTATGTTAACTGGCTGAATAACCAAGTTTTACTAATAAGTTTACAAATTAGGAATATAAAACGGCGCGCGTGTCTATATACTGTGATATAAACACGATGGGAGCTCCCATAGTGTTCATATCACAGTATATAGACACAAGCGGACGTTTTATATCGCTTTTATAAAGTATTTTTGAATGATTTCGCGCGAGCGTGACTCTGTCCTCTGATATAAACACGGTAGCCAGCTAACCAGCACGCGCGTTATATTTCAAATATTTTATAAATTCAAATTATGTTTTCATTTTTWAAAAAATACATGTAATTAATCATCGGGGTTACTAAAAGTCCAGTGGCGATCTGAATGCCGATGAAACAAATAAATTATAAATATAATAATAAACAAATAGTATAAAACTTTCATGGCAATGCAAGTTTTGTCATAATTTGCAGGCAGTAGCCCACAAAACCGCCTCACATCCTGGCTGCTGAGATTTTCCTTGTGTTTGAAATACCAATGGTGTTTAAAACGTTTAAACAGGAAGTGTCGTAAGTGCCTGCCACTAATAGTATCGTTCACTGATTATGTCATGTGTTTAATGAGGGCCTCCAATGAGACTGAGTTATTTTTATTTTCGAGGGAAATAAACCTGTGAAGTTAAAAGACTGAAGCGCACTTCAATATAAATATATATTTATATAAATGCATGCCTGGATAGTTTACTATGAAAAATTGGATTGCAATGATTTATTTGCTTATTTTAAAGCTTCTCAACAGATTATCCCTGCTTATAAACAAACAAATACGTTGATTGTATAGTTTGAATAACGTGATAAACTTATACGCCCCCCAGATTGCGACACGAGGTGCATGATACTCTTTCAACAAACTACTTTGAAAAAATAACATTTCAGTCAATAAATTTAGAGTCTAAGTTTAATACTTATACACCGCACTACCTCCGGTACTGGTAGAACAAATACAAATTAATTTTCGACTCTAGAAAGGTTAATTTTCAAGGTTAATAAACTACGATTACAAAACCATTACGGATAGGAAAACGCCCATCTAAATCATGAGCGATGCGTGAGTGTATCCGCGCGGATGCGAGTGTGCAACGGAGTGGAATCCTAGGCTTGTCCGTATGACTCATACTATTAAACAAGAGTATGTTCATCAATATTTATTCATATTCAACGCAATTTAAATATCAAACCCTATTATTCCGAGAAAATACCTTCGAAAAATTTATGTCTTTACTTGAATAAAAAATAAATATCATTTTAAATAAAAGATTCACAAATAGGCAAAATACTATCTACTACGATAATTTGACTTTTATAAATATTTTTCTTTGTTCAACTCGGAGTAACATGTAATAGTATATATACTGATCACAAAAAAATATTGAGTGAAAATACTTAGAGACAATGATCACGACTAAGAATCATTAGTGTCTAATTCATTGTAATATAATACTTTGTCAATGAGAATTGCATTTTATTTATTAAAATCAAATTCAGATTTAAGATGTTATTCATGTTTAAAAATAACTCCGTTAGTGGTATTACAAGCCGCAGCAAGTAATAGCAAACTGCCTTGTTCGAAACTCAGTGATCGACTTACAAAACATAACAATGTCGGTTCCGTTTCGGGAATTTTTTTCACCAACAAAAACTTAAAATATTCTCAACCCCTCAAATTTGGGGAAAATGTCGGAATTTAAGTCTAAAGATACACGACTTCTCTCGACCCGGTGTCACTGTTATCAGATGTAAATTTCGGACTGGCGCCTGGGACGTTTGGGTGAAATTTGCATATTGCCGTTGTTTTGGAAGGTGTATTTTTAGCACACGTGGCTAATGAAACATTCAAATAAAGCTAGCCAAAGCTATGACCAAAAACCATGAAAAAAATAGGAATGGTTGATATTTTTGTATAATGTATAAAAGTAAGCAGGTATTTCGCTTAGGTACAAAGTTAATGCTTGGTTGCTTTGCGGCCGCTTTGGTTTGGGCGCAGAGGTTTTAGCGCGTAAAAACCCAAAGAACTTTTTAAATCTCTAGGGCCCAAACAGTCCCACGTCACTACAAAAACATCACACAATCATGTGCAATAAATAAATATTATCACAAAGGATAAAGCTGGTAAATTTATTCAAACTTCCTTAAATACACACAAAAAATACTTCGCAAAAAATTTCTCTCAACTTTGTTTGACATTGAACGAAAAGCCAATAGCAYGTCGACAGCTGAAATGAACTTGCTCGGCGCGCTAATCTAGAGTTGAGCTCTGATTGGCTCGGCTTGGTTTGATTGACAGGGTGTCATGTGACTCAAGCCCAATATTCTGTGCAAGGCGTGATTGAATTTGAATCGAGTCTGCTCAACCTCCACTGGAACTCGTTTATARATAATTCGTGTGCTTTGGCGGATTTTGAATTTCAGCTTACTCTCAGCACCAAATATGTTGAAGCTTGTACGGAGATATCGTGGAAAGTCTACCGATACCCACATAAAGGATAAAGAGGGACATGAACTGTTTGTCTTCAACAAGGTAAAGCTCCAAATTTCCACAATGCTCAAGTAGCGATTCGGAGTCCGCGTGTGACATGTGCTTTGCTCTCTTTCTAGACTATCGAACATGGATTTCCACACAAACCGAGCGCTCTAGCTCACGATCCTCAGCTGCATCTGCTAGCTATTGGTACAGAGGATGGAACTCTCAGAATGTATCCTTTCAGTTTGAAGCTTTAGTGGTTGAGTTTGAATTCACAGTCTTCCAGACAGTTAGATTCTGAACGGACGCGAGCTTTTGTCTCGAGGAACACGTTCTAACGCCCAAAATTGAATAAATTTGCGGTATAAAATCACTCGAATAGAACCCGGACTTATATATATTTTCAAAAGCTCTGGATTTTTATCGAGAAACGTTAACCTCAAAAAGGATCTAAATGCGATTTTAATGCACTCAAAATTAGGACCCCAAAGAATGAACGCCGTAATTTTATAGATTTTGCGAGTAAGAATTCTGCATGCGACTGGGTTGGTGCGAAAAGAAGGGCTGGTTTTCCATGAATTTGAGTCACTCATTCGCGAAAAAAACCTGAAATTTAAACCCTGAAACCTTCAGAAATATGCGGGTTTGGGGGATTTTTTTGTTGCTTGATACTTAGCGATATGTTGAATAAACATTGAGGGACAACGGAAATTGTTGGGCAATATGCAGCTCGCCATTTTGAAATTCTTACTCCCTAAAAGTCTCACGTAATCGCTTCGGTGCTTCACGGAGCATCTTAAATTTTATAATAACAGTACTTTTCCATGGTGAATTTATTTAATGATGGACTTTAGATGAGTTTGTTCTCGGTTTCAGTCGACTGTCCTTGCTACACGTGTAGTAAGCTTAAATCCTTGAATTTTTTTATACACCTCCTTCCATTTTATCCGTATAAAAATCCAATAAAGGCAGGTTATTGTATTGAGGAATTTTTCCCAATTTATAGTTTCCCAAAGGGGAAAATTATCTTATGGAGCTCCTTAATCTTTGATCTGAGAATAAATTGTACTGCGAGCTAGCCGATATTTATCATTGAAGCCTCTCGGCGACTCCAATCCCCAATATTTATTTCTCTATTTTCCGAGGTGTTTGAAGCTTTTTGCCCTAAAAACTGCTACCGTAAGTCAAAGAGTTCGAAACCTTAAGCGAGAACTTTGAGAAGTTGTGTTTAGTTTGTTTGCAGGCAATTAATAATATTTCTACTTGCAAGAATAGAGTAGACCGTACGACCAGTCTGATCTCGCTTCAGCGCAGCTTACATATTATCGATTGTCTTATTCTTTGATTTCCTATTATTGCAGACCGATTTCCTATCTTTGAAAATACAGCTATTTACCCTAGAATTTTATTTTTGTATTAGTTTATATATTTTTTCGAGGTTAGATTGAAATAAGTTTTCATATTGAGCTTCAAAATGGCGACACCTTTGTTTCTTTAACTTCAAATTTAACAGCTATGGAAAGCCAGGAGTTGAACTAACTGCGTCTCATCAAGAAGAAACAAGAATACAGGAACTACACTTTCTTCCAGAACAGGTAAATAGAATCCTAACCGCCACTATTGAATTGGAACGCCGCTAGCAAGTTCCATTTGAAGGGAGTTGTTCGCAACATTAGGGTGGGGCTTTGGTCATGGGATTTGAAATGCATAACTATAAAAAAATATATGTTCTGTAAGATTATTACATCCAAAAATTTTCAAAATTGCACTTAAAACAGTATTCAACCCTAATTCTGTATACGATTCTTAAACCTTTGTGAATTTGAGAACAAAGGACAGATTGACAACTTCAATTAGAAATTCAAAATAATGTCATTTGACTCTCATTGTAAAACTCGAATACTGTATACAGGAACTGATCCGGTGTATCTGAACCATTTGGCTCAAATTATAATTATTTTGTGAAGTTTTGTACCAATTTGTCTGTATTTTAGCCTGTATAAAAAGGTTCTTTGCCTATCATTATCAGCATGGGCCTGAAAAATAATAAGAGGCAAGACCCCTGATCTCGTATAGTACAGTACGTGACCTACCCACCCTCTGTGTTCCCCTCTGTGTCTATTCTAAGACTTTTCCTTATTAGTGAACAAATACAAACTAAATTGTTCTTACTTCCTAAGAGCTGTATTAAATCCTTTCAGAAAATATATTTTATTGCTTTAAAATCTGTACAAATATATTGTGATTTACTGGTGTTTTTTTGGATTTTGTTTTTTCAACTTTGTTTTGAAGTTTGTGGTAGACTACCAAATGTTAAGGTTTGAGGTTAATATTATCTATGGTCTAGAGACCTCAAATAAAAATCTTGTATGAATTGCAAGGATTTTGTTTGCATTTGGATCATCATTAGCATAATAAGATGTCTGTCTGCTGGGATTTTGATTTTCAAGTGCTTTTATAACTTTTCATTGAGCAATATTGCTTTGCAAAATCCAATTGCATACAAAAATATTTCTCATTTCACTGATTCTAAAGTGTTTCAAATTTTGTTTGAGGTGCAAGATAAAATTATCCCTGGGGCTTTTGCAAAATTAAAGGGTTTTCCTAGGATTGAAAAGCTAGCTAGTATATAGTAACACTAAAATCAACTTTTATAAATAGATCGGAGTTTAAGAATTCATGCCATAAGACTTCCATGGTTAGCCAAATCCACTGCTGTTTGCCATAGCAGTATTGGATTTTCAGTTTTTCTTTAAGCATATAGTATGATTATTTTACAAACTTGGTAGAAAGTATATTTTCTGGAAAGGTATATGGGGAAAATGTACAAGTTATATCTTATATTATCTTCAGTTTTTTGTACCCAAATTGGTTTACCAGAGCAGAACAGGGATTGTAAATTGAATATTTTAAAAACAAATTAAATTTTGAGATTGAAAATATTCGCATTTGTTGGAATTGGACATTACCTATTTGTAATTATATTATTATTGGTGTGAGTGTTAAGATATTGTTGAATATAGGCTTTGAATATAAGTACTCTAGATGAATTTTAGATTGCAGAATTGCATGTCTAAGTACGATTTACACCTTTGAATTATATAACCTTTTATTGAACGGCATGTGATTTTACATACATGGGTTGATAACTCAAGGGTTAGCATAATATGATTGATATAAATTTATATGTTTGCACTCAACAATCCTTATTTAGGTTTCCAGGGTACTGGCTAGTGTTCTTCTTGAAACCACTTGCATATGTCTAAATGTCCATTTTACCAGTACTTGAAAAATAAATGTATTTTTAAATCTGTGGTTGGAACTGATATTGTGCTCTTATGAGTATTATAAAGTAATTTGGTATTATACACTGTACACTAGTCAGTAAAAATATTAATAAAAAAATGTAAGAAATTGATACTTGAGTTTTTTTAAAAAGGTTTTTTTTGCAGAATTCATTATCACCACTATTAAATCATCCTCATTAAATGTAGATCATTTTCACTTTCATTTAGCATGGTAGATTTAAGTCTTGTAAAATAAGGCTGCTTACATCCCAGACTATTATATTGATAACATTGCTTCATCAATACCATCTAGAGTCATCCATTACCTTCTTTTAGGTATTGGTCATACTCGTCATGTTACAAAATGTTACAAAAAAGCGCCAGGGTTCATAGATCTGGTTATTCAGGCATTGCCAAAGTGCCTATTTGTGTATTTAAGAAAACTGCTTGCATTACTAAACCAACACATTTTTGTATTGTGGTGAACATACAAACCTTGCCAAACACTGTCTATTTCTTGCCAAGTTGCCACCCAGCCTTAAAGAAGTGGTATTATTTTATGTCTTTACTGTCTGAAAACTAAGTTCTTGTTTTCTGGTAATAGGAGAATGATTTTCCTGTAGATAAAACCCTTCATTTCCTGATCATAAAATTGTCTGTTGTTAACTTGAATGGTGTAGATGAGAAATTTTATCAGGATGACAGAATGAATGGGTGTTAATTAAATGGGACTTGAAAACCTTGACRTCTGTCTTTCAAATAAACTTATAGCTATATTTATAAATATTCTACTTGATTGACTATGATTATCAACCATGACTTGTAAAACATCTGTCTGGAGAATAAATTATGTTTGTGTTCATATTAAAACCTCCATGTCAGGTAATTACTTAGCTGCATTTCTTAATTCTTATTCTAGTTAGCACTAAAGTKTAGCATTATTTCAGCATCTATAGGCAGCCTGACTCCTGTCTGTGTTGAGAGGATACCAATATGGAAAGTCCAGATTCATTCAGTCTATGTTTGAAATGAAAATTACAAATTGCATTTAAAAACATTGTACCTTTTCAGAGGTACAGAACAATTTATTTGGTTGACAGCAGCGTATTGTCTGATTTCCTTGTCGCAAATGTTGTCTCGGTCACTCATAGCAATGAAAACAATGGTAAAATGGTAGGAGTGACCACACTGACTTTTGAGACTGTTTTTTTTTTGTCTCAAAGTTGGCAACTCAAGATTGAAAGATTTGAACCAAAAAGTCAAATGTTCTGTCATAGAATCGAAGAATAGGCAGTTTTATTGACATTTTAAAATTTATTCCACAGGGAAGAATAATCAGTGTGTGTGACGATGGAGAACAAAACAGTATTCACCTGTGGGAAGTCAACAAAAAAGAAGGAAAATCTGTCCTTGAAGAGGTGAAGACGTGCACCCTAGAAGGAAGGTAAGAATGGCCTAGCTTTGATGAAAAGTTTCCTTGCACCACATTTATCTTAATTTTATTCTCCCAAAAAATGAGGCATGACACTTTAAATTTATTGTTTTCTTTAGCTTAGTTTCAGGCCATATGTCATTCCCTTGAGCATTGTTTCTTTGTTCACTAGTTACATTTGAGATGTAGCAAACAAACAAGGAATGTGGTTCTCAAAGAGATGACACAATCCATAACTTATCATATTAAATCATAACTGTTATGATTTTTCRAGTATTTACTTTGCTTAAACTTTGTTCCCTAATCAAAAACCACATTTTGACGTCAATAATACTACTGAGTAAAGAAATGTTGGACATTTACATAATTATCGGATGCATTTGATAGATATGACATGAAATACTTACCAGAATCCATATGAAAAATTGAAAACTAATTTATGGCTGAATGATGATGTTTAATCAAGATATATGATAGTAATGTGATGGAGTGCCTGGCTAAAAACATCAAATTCAGATTTTTTTAAAACTTTTGTTTTTTACAGTAATTCTGCATATTTAATACCAATGAATAGCAGCTGAAACCTTGACCAAATTAAGCAATTATTGATTAAAACTTTACTAAGTCAAGTGTTGAAGGTCAGAAAAGCTAAGAAAGATGGGAAATCTGTAGGCATTCCTTCATGCTCTGGATGGACTGAAGTTTCTTTGTAGAAATTAGTTTTTTGCTACAATTTGATTTTTGATTTTAAGAGGCTAATATTGGTTTCTTCGATGGTATTTTTATCCATACAATATATTATTATTATAGGGTTTGATAGAATTTAGACACTCTTATCTCTAGACTGGGGTCAGACATGAAAACAAACAATAACTTTACCTTTAATGTAAAAAAAATTGTTTTTGTTCTTGACTTTCTTACTTTGTGCCAGATTTTTCACGTGAACAACTTGTGATAGAAGAATGTCAGACTGTGACTACAATAACCCAACTTTTACAGATTCTTTTAGGAAGAGTACAACACCTCTTTTTTTCTCTTTAATCAGACTCAAGAAGATCTCAGTATGCTTCCTGTCTATGAAGACAAATCGGCTACTCCTTGGCACAGAAGGTGGAAACATCTACTTACTTGATATCAACTCTTTTGAGCTCCAAGATTATGTCATCTACCAAGATGTCGTCATGCAGAGGTATGTTTCATAAATCTCAAATAGATACTTCCTCCTGCATTAACAGATGTATTTCTACAGGTCTAGACTAGTTCAAAAGCAAAACATACACTAAGGACCTTTAGATAACCAAGGGGGGAAGGGCTTGTAGGATTTTGTAGCTTAATATATATTCTTCTATGACAAGCTCTGCAATTTTTTTTTGCTCAATATTTCTCTAGTGAAAGGAGAGGTTTGTGCAATTTTTTTCCCTCATTTGTGAAGTGCTTACTTGATATTTTTTTGGCCCCCCCCCCCCCCTGCTCAATTATCTAACGGGTGGTCCCTAAAGTCGTGACAACTGTAGTGTAAAGTTAAGAATTTATACCTTGAACAACACCAATGTTTTGAAATCCCACAGACCTTTTACTGGTATCTATAAATAGCTGACTTATAAACACAGTACACACCCATTGAGAAAAATATTGTCTTAAGACATGTCATTTTGTAATGTGTATCAGTGCTATTTGTAAACCAACAAAAAATTAATTTAGGGTCTATAAAACTTGTAATAATGGTGTTGACACCATTAGTCCCCACGATGACATTGTTACAAAGTTTTGACAGATTGTCATGGCAACTTGTGTGCCATCAAAAAATTCTTGTCTTGAAAACTGGTAACATTATTTGACTAGCTGTCTAAATTTATGGACAGTCTTGACAAATAAAATATCAACTATATCCATCATGTGTCATCTAACAAAGGGGATTTTTTCCACAAATGAAGATATTTATTTACCAAGAAAATCGCTTTTTTAATGTCCAGATTTTGGCCTTTTTTAGTTGCTCTTTAAATAGCAAAATATACACTTCAGTGGCACTTGGGGAAAAAAATTCTTTTCATGATTTTACTTGTTGCCAATATCTTGTATTAGTCGTAAGTTATAAGTAATACATAGAGAAAAAAACTATTTTTGTAGACAATGTTATTTAAGTTATCATTCAGAGATGAAATGGTCTGGTCTGGAAATTATGTATATTGATTGGTTGTTTGATGGTTAGTTTTGCATTGAATTATTAGTATAGACCAGACTAAATATCGAAAATCAATTTGAAATAAATTAACTTGGGTCTGGCTCAAAGGAGAATCCTTTTTCTAAGCCTTAAAATAACATCCAAAGATCTTTGGCAAGGATGTATTTTCAATTAAGACCTACAAGCCAATAAATAAATGAAATATATATACAATAAGAATATATGTTTGAGAAGAAAAAGTCAAGACAACATTTTTCTTCTCAAACAAATATTCTGCTCTACTTGTATCGATGTATTGAGCACTATCTTATGGAAAATTGATTCACAGATTTCTTACAATAAGAATATATATATATATTGAAATAAGATGAAATTAATAAGATTATGTATATATTTAATAATTATAAGAATAAGATAAAAATATATTATATTATTGTGATTGTATAAAATAAGAATATGTATATATTGAAATAAGCTGAAATTAATTTATGCATAAATATAATTTAATTTAGGCATTTTATCTGTTTTGTTCTGTATCTAGTGTTGAAGAAGAGAATAAAACAAATGCTGGCTCAGTAGAGGCTATTCAGGAACACCCTGAAGACCCCCAAAAGGTAAACCCAAGGACAACACTTGAACAGAGGTTTTTGAAATTAAAGACATGGGAATGTATTCAATTAGAAGCATCCAAAACCTCTAATCAGCTTAGCAAATTCCAGAATAAAATAGTCATGAAATTGGACTTTGTTTGGGAATTCATATGTATTTTAAACATGGTGGAAATTGCTAATAAATCTAAAACAAACTTTACTGACRACCTTGAATTTTTCATACTCTTCCACTTCTTTAAAGCTTAGAATGGATCAATACAAAAGGTGTTAATATCTGAACATGTAAGATAAAACCATTGATGACAATTGGAACAATTAAGGTCAATTCTGAATAGTTTGATTCTATGAAGACCACTGTCAAAAGTATCACTGACAGCCATTAGTGCAAAACAATTTTGGCAGGCAAACGGCTTTATTTTAATCTTTGTCCTAAATTGCATTGAGTCTCATGACAGCTCTCAAACATCACAGAAGAGCCCATTACATGGAATTAGAACTTGTGATGATGGTCGTAAAATATAAGATTAAGTTTCAATCTTATTTGGTATAAAATCAACTGTAGCAGCAGTAATATTTGTACAGAAACCCCAAGCTCTATTCCTTTGAATTACAATAAATCTAAAAAATCTGTTTGGTTGTCAGTTGCTTACATATTTAATCTTTTTCCCCCCTAGATTCTTATTGGATACAAAAAGGGGCTGATTGTCTTGTGGAATCATGAGTCATGTAACGTACAACATACATTCCCCAATTCCATTGATCTTGAGAGCATAAGCTGGAACGAGACTGGAGACAAGTTCATCAGCTCGCACGCCGACGGTAGCCAGAGCATCTGGTCTTTTGACAATGAAGCCATCACAACTGAAGAAACCTCAACACCATTTGGCCCGTTCCCCTGCAAAGCCATTACTAAAGTAGAATGGCAAGACAATACCATTTTATTCGCTGGTGGAATGCCGAGAGCCAGCTATGGTGATAAGAACGCTGTATCCCTCATGCAGGCTGGTTCCTCTACACAAGTTGTGTTTGACTTCTCTTCCAGAGTTGTGGATTTCCTCGTCATCTCAAACCCGGATACCAACAGTGAGTAGTACTCTGTATTCTTTATCCAGCTGAGATGATTATGATTATCCTAAGAAAAATAGGGTCTAAGTAGCAATTTGAATAGATTATTAAACCAATGGCTGGCAGAACCCCATGACCTTTTGTGTTGACCTTGGATTTTCTTCCAAGGGTATTTCATCTTGGCTGCATTCATCCCTAGGGACCATTCATAATTTATGAGTTATTGGGCTACATGGATTTTGAGAGACAGTAATTTTTGGCTCGTCCTTCGAGTAACGGACACAGTTTACGTAATCCAATAGAAACAACAAAAGAACCCTAGTTACTGTATTTAATAAAACGAAGCTAGCAAAGAATACAACAGGTTTCCCGCACACGAATAAGGATAAATTTTCCAACATCCAGGGGGCCTTTTTTTAATTGGGTCATTATGAAATTATATTAGTCATATTCTAAAATTAGGGAGTCAAAAAAATACATTTTTAAAAAGACCACTAAAAAGATGTTTCAAAACCCAGAATCTGCATAGTTTCCCTAACCCATAAATTATGAACGGTTCCCTTGCAGGGTTTAATTGTTTTATTTAATTAAAGACATGAAATAGTCTAATCGAAATTTATTCTATTGTTTTCTTTTGTCTTTACTTGAGTATCCAACAATTAGTTACGTTTTGCAGTTTAGATCAAATCTTTCTACAATAATAACTTTTTTGCTTCTGTTATTTCTGTCACACATTATTCTAAAGCTTACATATTTTGCACTAGAATACATTTTATTATATTAATATGGTTTGTCTGATCCACAGAGCCAGCATGTCTTGCTGTTTTGTGCGAACAAGAATTTGTGGTCATTGACTTGAAGACAAAAGAACAAGGGTAGGTTTGAGTTTGGGTTTCATGGAATCTAACAAATAGCTCTAAGCAGATAACTGAGAATAGAAATGTGAAAAAATGTCATTGACAAGGCTCAAAATAAGCTTTTATATTCTAGTAATGTGAATTAATGTTGCGTGCTGTTTTGAGGTTTTTTTATTATTCTGAAATACTTCAATTTGTGCTGTATTTTTGTGAGATGTTGTACTTGAAAATTTTTTTTTAAATGAACCTTTTAAGAACCTGTTAATGAATAATATTGAACAGAGTTGCTATGAACTATTTGGTTTCTTTGTCATATTCACAAATTTTATTCCTCCAAAATGCATTATAGATTTTGATATCAATGTTAATGATCCTTTTGTTGTTCCAGGTATCCCACATTTCTTCAGCCATACCTAATCTGCCTTCACTCATCCCCAATCACTACCTCCTTYCATTGTCATGGATGTTCCAATGAACTATGGGACCAGATTACTGCCGCAGGAAAGGAACAGATGAAATCAGAGTACACAGAAGAGGTAAAGATTTCTTATACAAACTTCCGTTTTCCTCAATTTAAAACCTGGTTCCACAAACCTTTTTGTCTTGGTGTAATGTTTTTCCATTTTAGACTTCTATAGCATCATTTATTTGTTTAACAAACGTTGCTTAAGGAGAGCATAATGATAGTGATAATGATGAGGAAAACTTTATTGAGTTTTGCCCGAATACAATCTTAAATCTCTCTACGTATAAGTAATTTACAATTGGCTACTTGAATTGAATACAAAACGTGACAAATGACAAAAAGAAAAAGAAAAAAAAAATGAAGACTATTAATACTGCATTAACTCAGGACTCTTCCATTCTTTGTTCCTGCAGCAGAAAATAYAATATGATGATCTAATTGCAATATTTATTAACTTTCTGATGATGTAAAGGCGATCATTGTTATTGAAATCAAGGTCTTTTCAAGAAAATGATGTGACCTAAAAACATTAAGCACAGGCCAAAATGAACTATTGGGAAGCTTATCTGTTAATGTCTATCATTAGCCAAAGATTAGCCAAAGTTAAATAAGATAAAAATGTGATAAATTACACAAATTATTTAAAACATTTAGAACCAGGATTTTAATGTTCATGGTTTTAATTTATAGGAATGGCCTGTGACTGGTGGCAATCCTCTGCTTGATAGCACTGACGAGAAGAGCATGTTAATCACTGGGTACGCTCATGTTTCATATCTCTATTCTCTCCCATTTTTTTAAAGGTTTTTGGTTGATTAGTGAATGAATGAAAGAACAATTTCTTTTTTCCAAATAATTTTTTGAATTGTTTCTAAATCTCTTTTGCTTTAGCACATAACATGAAATCTAATCTAAATCTAATCTTGACCTTCCTGCATTTAAGAAGAGTTGAGATTGTGATGTCATTACTTAATGCTTTTGATGAAGAGCAAATACTTGGGAGCAATTAGCGTCATAGTTATGGTCTTGCAGCATGTTTATTTTCCCAAATCTCACCGACAGTTAAACCAAAGACAACAAATGCTTTAATTTCCACTTTGTCATCTCATTTCAAATCCTCACGACATTTTATCAGTTTTATTTTTCCTTAACTAGCCTTTATTCCAAGGGAAAACCCACATAGCCTGCTGTGGACCAAAATCCACTTGGGCGTAATGTTTTCCCATTTCAGACTGTGTCATAGCCTACAGTATACTTTCTTTAACAGTTACATGAGAAGTTACATTAAAAGAAGTAGAATAAAGCATGATGAAGTTCGTTATAAATATTTTTCAGTCATGAAGATGGATCAGTCCGCTTCTGGGATGTCTCACTGGTTGAGATGAGTTTGATGTACACTCTAAACACCTCCAAGATGTTCATCAGTGATCATGAGGCTCACGACAATGGAGCACAAGAGGTTGAAGAAGAAGGATGGCCACCATTCAAGAAGGTTGGAAATTATGATCCCTACACAGATGATCCACGCTTTGCTGTCCAGAAGATCCTCCTGTGTAGCGTTAGCAAGACACTTACTGTGGCTGGAAATGGTGGCCAGGTTGTGCAGTATGGTATTAGTGATGACGAGAACAACGTTGAACTCCAGGTAGGATTGATAATGTTTTTTTTTGCTATCATCATTGGTGAAAGCTATTGAAGCATTTCATAGTATTTTACTCTCTTCCTCAAAAAGAAAAAAATGGGAATGAAAGGAAATGCAAAGTGGACACCATTGGAGTATCTCGAACTCAATTACTAATATAGAATTTTTTTAAATCAAGGTTATAGAAATTGATCTGGTTGAAGACAAAGAAAGACTCCAGTGGAAAGGACATGGGCCACTCACCCTCAGAGAAGGACAGATCACAGTTCCTCGTGGCTTTCAGCCAAAACAGGTCCTACAGGTTATTCCTGCTGCACCTGTCACTGCCCTTGCACACCACTCTGCCTGGAATGCATTAGCTGCTGGTACCTGCCATGGATTTGGTCTGGTTGACATGGAAAACAAGAAAGTGGTTACCACCAAGTGTACAGTTTCTGAAGAAGGTAGGTTGAAAACTATGTAGTTAATTAAACAAGACTTTCAAATAACTGCAGTATCCTAATGGTAATGCACTGGAATGGTGTTTACCAGATCACAAGTTTAACTCCTGGCCAATACACTAGTATTTTTGGGCAAAGCATAGGACTCGTATGGTACCCACTCTACAAATGGTGAAAAAATACCTCAAGATTTGGTCAACCCAGAAAGGGCAATTCCATTTAGGAACCAACTTTTCTCCTCCAACCCCCCCTCTCCCTAACAGTGTTGAAGAGACGAATGCCGATGTGCCGCCACCAATCATTAGGTGAAACAACATTGATAATGGGGAGGGGGATTTATAGTATCGGATGATAAATTTTAGAGCAAAATTTTACAAATATTTCCATGAGATTAGGAATTAATAATATTAGGGGTCTCATTATTTTATTCGTAGATTGTAGCTTCATAAATGGGTGGGTACCAGAATTTTGAGTGTAAATCTGACAAAAACCCTCACAGTTACTGCATACTAAATTCTATGGAATTTAAATAAAATCACTTATTTGGAATAAAGTTTTTATCTACTTTATGCATCTTCAAATTTAGCAGAACTCTGAATAAGTTTCTTATTCTCCAATCCACAGAACTTTCCAACACAGGAGAACCAATCGCAAGGAAGAAGTCCCTAAAAAAATCCATCAGGGACTCATTCAGGCGTCTCCGAAGAAGCAAGAAGAAGAAGACTGAGGAAACGCCCAAGAAGGAGGGCGAAGAGGGTGAGGCAGCAGCATCATCTCCTGCCGAATCTGCTCCTCCAGTCCAACGCCTTGTGCATGAGAACCGTGTTGATGAGACCATGTTGAGCATGGTGCGCTGCATCTACTTTGTCGACACTTTTTTGAAGGATGGTAAGGCTATATAAGGCAGCAACAACTTTAATATTATCCTCAAAATAAAATTGTTGGTTTAGTATTTTTATTTAGATTTGTCATTAAATTAACATGACAAAATGAAAACATGATTATGAAGAATACTTAATAATATTACACAATTGCAAAAGGGACTATTTGAATCTCGACTTCTATGTTTTTGAACACCACAATCATTTTGCAGTTGAATTTATACTATATAGATAATTTGCATATGAATGTAGCTACCTTGATATATACCAAAAGGTCTCTGCTTGAGAGAAACAAACTTGATTATCTCGAAATCCAGTCAGGTGTTGGTGGAGGTAACCTCTGCTAATAGCCTTCTTTTCTGAAAAAAGGAAAAACTCAAATGTGGACAAAAATTGATTACCTTTAGACTGGAATAGACTTGTTTTTGGATTAATTGTTTTCTTCGTTTGCACTGCAACACTAAAAAAATGTCTTTTGGTTTTAGGTGTCCATCACAACCCATCCATGTGGGTTGGCACAAATGCTGGCCAGATCTTCGTCTACAATATCACTTTACCAGGAGAAGAAAACAAGGAAGAAGGATTGAAAGCAGAAATGGGAAAAGAAATCAAACTCAGACACAAGGCTCCAGTTGTTGCCATATTTGTTGTTGACAAGGAAGGCTTGCCATTACTTGGAGACTTGGCAGATGAGGATGAGAAAGGTAAAAAAGTAGTTTCAGAATCTTTTGCCACTGCTGTTGCTGTTGTTTTATGAGGCAAAAAAGATTTTTGAAAGCCTGACTTTGATTTCCTCATTTTACTTTTGATTCTTTTGTGCAGAAGGACAAGCAAGTGGACAGCACTCTCTTGTAATTTGCTCGGAAGAACAATTCAAGATCTTCAGTCTTCCTCACCTCAAAGCCCGCCATAAGGAGAAGCTCACAGCTGTTGATGGTTCGCGTGTTCGCAAGATTTCCATCATTAACGCACACAGCAAAAGTGATGATTCAGGCTTGGTTTACCATTGCCTGGCTTGTCTCAGTAACCAAGGAGACCTCTCTGTGTACTCCATCCCTCACCTCAAACTTCAGCTCAAGGTGTCTTGTATGAAGAAGGAAGACAAGATTGCCATCCAGTCGCTCATCTTCACATCCAGTGGACAAGGGTTCTATCTCAGATCTCCTTCAGAACTGCAGAGATTCTCTCTCACTGCTAGTGACCTGTAAGTTTATTTATTTGTTTACAAATACTAAAATACATTTAATTCATGTTACTGTACCTTGACTTTTAAAAAAATGCCTTATCAACATGGTCAGTTTTTTGACTGCCTTTCTTACTGGCTATGAGTACTACCACCATGCATCTTTTGAGGATTTTTTTATAGCTTCTCAAGTAAATTTCGCATTAAAAATCTAATTCCTAATTCCACAATCGATAATCCACTCCATTATTCCAAAAGAAAAAATCAAAATGTCAGTCTGGTATACCAATCTATTTATGTTGGCGAGAAAAAAAAAATTTCAGTCTGTCAGATTCACGTTGTGCTTCAGGATGAGTTTACTCAGATATAAGTAAAAGATTTACATTCTCTGGAAATGAATATGGCTGCCCCAGGAGTAAGGTACATCCAAAGTTTAGATTGAAAGCAGTTTTGTTGCTTTTATTGAATCTCATTTGTTTTAATTGCTTTTTTTAGCCTCAAACCCGAGTGTGTCCTTGAACTTGCTGAGGGAATGAGACCACCTGAATCAGTTGAAATTGAAGTTGTAGAAGGAGAGGCAGAAGGGGAGAAGAGAGAGAGAAAAGATTCATCTTCATCTTCCTCTTCATCTTCGTCGTCATCAGATGATGAAAAGGACGAAGAGAAGAAAGCAAAGAAGGCCGAGAAGAAAAAGAAGAAGGCTGAGAAAAAGGCTGCTGCTGCTGCAGCCGCAACAGTCACTGCTGCCGAAGTAGCTGAAGAAGTTGAAGAGAAGAAAGAAGATGTTGAAGAGAAGAAAGAAGAGGTTGAAGAAGAAACAAAACCAGAAGAACCAGAACCAGAAAAAACAGATGAAAGTGAAATGCAAGTGGTTGTCATGCCAGATGAAGGAGTAAGCGTAAAGACTGAACAAAAGGTAGAATCTTCAACACACGAGACCTTTCACCATCAGACTTCCAATTCGGAAGTAAAAGGAATGAAAGAAGAAAATGCACTCCACTCAGAGGAGCAAACTGTCTCAGAAAGCGAGAATGCTAGATCAGTGGTCACGACAAAGCGTATTGTTACAAGCACTCGTGTCGTCAAACAGTCAACTTCACATCGCATAGTCACCTCAGAAGGAGAGACTGTAGAGGCTATTGAAGGTTTTGAGAATCTTAAGATTCAAAATGGCGATGATAAGGTGAGCATAGTACTGTACGTTTACCAAAGCAAGGGCAGATCCAGGGGGAGGGTTGGGGGG